TCCCTTTAGAGGGTGAGAACCTTTTCAAGAAAATCAAAAGAAGAGGGAAGAGTAAGATGAAACAGAGAAAGATAGACATTTCTTGATTTTGTCTCTGTTTTCGTAAGGTTCTTGTTTATGTTTTGAAGTGAAGAGCAATGAGTTGTGGGGATGTAATATATATAGTAAGGTGCCACAAGTAGTAGTAATGTTTGACTAATTCAATGTTTTATATTTATTGGATTGAACAAGTTGAACAATGGCATGGTGAAGGGTATCTAGCTACTCTTATCGATAAACACATTCAAAATCAACTATCTTCCATCAGAGCATTCTATATATTACGACGGTTTTAAGACTTGGTTCCCTACTTCTTCGACTTATAATTTTCTTTTAAACAAATATCAAAAACTCAACCCTCATGTACGTAATTTTTTTTTTTTTTGCCAACAAAATATTTGGTTGAATGAATTTTACATTTATTTCAAAAAAAAATATTGAATTATGGCAACTCACTTAAAGACAGTTGATTGCAGGCCTTAAAATTTATGGGGCTAGAAGCTTGGAGGGCCAAATGATTCATATATATAACCATATACTCCATCCGTTCCTGAATATAAGATGTTTTAGAATTTTCACACAAATTAAGAAACATTAATTGTGTAATAATTAATGCATGTTTTTCTTACACATATCACTTTTTCAATAAACATTCCAGTTTTTTCACACATTTTAAAATATTAAAATGTTCAAATTTAATCACAAAATTATAAAATTTTCTAAATTAAACAACTTTTAGTGCAAGAAATATAATAATTATTATTAAAATCTGAATTTTTGTTTTACTTTAATTAAGAAAAAGTATAAAAAATCCATGTTCAAGAAATAATATAAAAAAGACTAGAGAATTTAATAGAATAGAGAATTTATATATACATATAAATTATAAACTACTTCAAATTTTTAAAATTTAGAGGCTAAAGTTAATGTTTCGTCCTGTCATTAGTCATGAATAATCCAAAGATCTTATGACGAACTTCACTGAAAAAAGGAAGAAAAAAAAAGCTTCAAAATTCTACCGACGGTCCAATAGTGTTGTATCGATGAAAGCGATTATCAAAACGTAACCCGAAAACCCATATATATACAGTATATAAAATAAGGAGTAAATCTCTAAACTTCGTTATAAGATCATTTTAGTGGTCGTAGTGAAGAGTAAGCAGGGGCGGCTAAGACATTTCTGATCCGCGCATTTATGAGCTTAAGCGTCGAAAAAATGTTAAAAGTTTTGTATCCCTTTTCTATGTGCCAGGGAAGAAACCTAATATCAAACCCAGGAGTTTAATTTTATTGTAACGAATAGTGAATGTTTGGCGGCTTAAAGGAAAAATGTCACCCTCGCATATATAACTCGTTAATCTATGATCGATATTAATGCAAGCGAGAGTCGTACCAAAGACCAACATGTCCTCCAATTATTTTACAACTGTACTGTCAAGAATAGTGCAAATGTTTGAATCGTTGAATCTTCTAGATATTAGATAATGTGAGAGAATTACTTGGTCAACAACATTCATCATTCATGTCTTATAACATAAAAACTGGAGTATATAATAATAAGTATGCTGCTAAATAAAAGCAGTTGGATAATTTGAAATATTCAAAGGTTTTATCTAAAAGAGTTAACTTGGAGTGATTCTGCTACGAATTTAGTCCAGTTACAAAATTTAAGAAAAGATAATAAAAGGTTTATGATTACGTTTATCAATATATGTCTAAGAAAAATTATTTAGATGAATTAATGAAACTGAAAACGAGCTACTAGAATCCAACTTCCATATAACTAATGTACTAAATGGTCAGTTATTTCCAAATTGAGGGATTATATTCACCCATACACATGCTGCAATAAACAAGCGTCCATCTTTGATTATTTTCAAAAGTTAATAATTTTGGGAAAATTATTTTAAGGTACGTAGCATAGTAAGTAGTAAACCACGTATGTTTAGGGAAACTAAAGGTTCGCCATCTGTAGTCATATGTCAATTTCAAACTGGTTTTTTATTCAAATCGTCGCTTCAATAAACGAACGACACTTACACAAAAAGAAGATGATAACTAACGTCACAATCGGAAGTTTTCATTTTTATTGAGGCCAGAATTCATATACAAGAAAACAAACAAAATCTACCGATTACCAATTCATGATGAACGTAAAAAAAAAAAACCAACAAAATCAAAGTCAGCCGATTGAGACATACACACCGAGAAATCTTGATCTTATTATACTTTTAAATGTCTTCACGGCTTACCAATGATGTGGGGTTGGTATTAGCTCAAGTGGGACTTTCTTGGCGACGACGAAAGCTCCAGCTTCTTCCATGTCTATGTCCTTAATGGTCATTCCATCAGGCAAACTCCAATCGAAGAAGTAAAGAACGTTAAGTAAACCGAGCTCCACAATAGTCATCCCCGTGGCTATCCCGGGACAAATCCTGCGACCAGCACCGAATGGCAACAACTCGTAATGTTGACCTTTATATTCGACAGGGCTATCGATAAATCTCTCGGGGATGAAGTCATTAGGGTTTTCCCAACAACTTGGATCACGTCCTGTTGAGTAAGTATTGATCTGGATCGTCGTGTTCTTGGGAATATGGTAGCCTAGGATCTCTAAGTCAGCCATCGTTTCTCTTGGGAGCAAGAGAGGAGCAGGTGGATGTAATCTGAATGTTTCTTGGATCACAAGTTTCAAGTAGTGAACTTTTTCAAGATCTTGTTCCGTGATTTTTTCTTTGTTGTCTCCAAGAGTTGCTCGAATCTCTTGTTGTAGTTTCTTCATCACTATCGGATGTCTTGTTAACTCTGTCATCGCCCATACCATCGTGATCGATGGTGCGTTCACTCCCGCCAGAAACACATCCTGATCATATAGCAAGCGAATATTAGCTACAAATATGCCATTTCAATTTACACACGTAAGACGAAAAAGATTGTTAGATGTTGAAGAAAAAAGAGAAAAAAGAACTTGAAAAACGTAGTTATACTCACCGACATGACTGCTTTAAGATGATCATACGTGACTTTAAAAGAACCAACTTCGCTTGGTTTATTGATCATATCCAACATGACATCAACGATGTCTGAATGATCTTGAGATTTTCCGGTCTTTAAATGATCATCGATCACATATCGAAAGAAGTTACTAATCCTGGCAAAAGCTTTCTGCAAATCTGAATGTTGACCAGATATCCTGTCTATGGCCCACCCAAGACCCGTGGGGAAGAAGTCAGTGAACGAGAATGAGCCAATAATGCTCTCAGTCTCGAGCACAAGCTCTTCAACTCTGTCCATGTCGACAAAGTCGCATTCGTGGAACTTCTGTCCAAAAGCAAGTCTACATACGGTACTAGCGGTAAGAGAGAAGAGAACTTTTCTCAAATCCACCAGAGTTTGTGTTTGAGCAGATTTGGAAATTTTCTTGACAAGTAATTCACTCTCTTCCTCTCTTATATACCTGAAAGCTTTTAGCTTTTTTGTGCTAAAGAGCTCGACCATCGCAAGCTTCCTCATCTCTCTCCAGTCATCACCGTATTGAGAAAAGCCAATACCTTTGTAGTTGAAAGAAAACAACCTGGTCCCCGTTAGCTTTGGTCGGGTACAAGTCTCGAGGTCATGAGTCTTGAGAACTTCTTCAGCTCCTTCTCTTGTGGAGAACACAACCACCGGCACCACACCCAAACGAAGAAACATCACGGGTCCATAGTCTTGAGATAGTTCATGGAAAGATCTGTGGAGAGATTTTCCAAGTTGATGTAAGTTTCCGATGAGCGGAAGACCTTTAGGTCCCGGAGGAAGTTTCCCTCTAGTAGGTGAGAGCTTTTTCAAGAAGATTAAAAGAAGAGGGAAGAGTAAGATGAAACTGAGAAAGATAGACATGATTTCTTGATTTCCTCTCTGTTTTCGTAAGGTTCTTGTTTATGTTTTGAAGAGCAATAAGTTGTGGGGACGTAATATATAGATAATAATCGTAGGTAGTAGTTTGAATAATTCAATGTTTTGAATATATTGGATTAGAGCACGTAATTGATTGGACGAGAACATAAATGTTTCTATTTCGGTAGTAATAAATAATCCAAAGATTACGATCTTCATTAAAAAAAGGAAAAAAACAGATATTCAAAAATCCAAAGATTTTTCAATTTTTATTTAGTAAAATATAGTATTTCTTATTTATTTATCATAATTAATCAGATTACTTATTATTTAAAAGACGTTTTTGCAAAGATTATTTAGACGACTTTTAATTTTCTTATGGATAAGTTTTCTGTAAAAGAAGCAACACGTTAGCGTCTAAATTAGAAAACGAGTAAGAAAAGACCACGGGATGGTTAGTCGAAATCTAGAAAAAATTGGAAAACATAAGAAAAGTGTTTTGAGCGTTAAACTAGGTTTGAAGAAAAGAGCTGGATCCACATAATAACTGTATCTGGTCGTATGAGATATGAATGATAAGAAAGTGATAAGAGATGGCCAAAAAAAGAAAAACACTAAAAGGAAAACTTAAAAATAAAACCAAAAGCTCATGATGTGGTTGCCGTGGTAGATGCTGCTGCATCAATTTTTTTTATTTTATCAGCAGCCTCAATACCTAGCATATAGCTTGTCTGCTGCTGCATCAATATTAGTCACAATTTTTTTTCAAAGTTTTGAGTAATGGTTACTATATAGCCGAAAGATGTTTGGCATATCAGATTGATATGAAAAATTAGGGTAGTTAATTAGCTGATTTACAGTTTATGCAAGTGTAGGAGAAATCAAAGAAGTGGTTTCATGTTGTAAAGAGAACTTATTGACACATAAACAAGACTAAAATAGACATAGCTCAAAGAGCTTTATTATGCTAGAAAATGTAAAAGAGGAGAAGAAGACTTTTGCAAAACCACCAACAACTGCTGCTGTGACACTGCTGTGACACTCTCCATGAGATCCTAAAAAGGTATGAAGAAGTTTCGGGTCAGATGATTAACCTCCAGAAATCATCTATAACTTTTTTAAGGAAAACTCCCGAAGATATCCGAACAAGAGTCAAGACAACCCTGGGAATTGAGAAGGAAAAAGGACACGGTAAATATTTAGGATTACCTGAGAGTTTTGGCCGTCGGAAGAAAGATCTCTTCACCATGATAGTCGACCGGATCAGACAGAGATTAATCAATTACTCCTCAAGATTTCTCTCCGCAGCAGGGAAACTAACAATGCTCAAATCTGTCCTCTCTGCAATCCCCACCTATACAATGTTCTGCTTCAAGCTCCCTGTAGGTTTATGTAAACGCATCCAATCAACCTTAACAAGATTTTGGTGGGATGCGAAACCAGAAAAGAAAAAAATGTGTTGGGTCTCGTGGGGGAAACTTACACAGAGTAAGAAGATGGGAGGCCTTGGCTTCCGTGAGATCCGAAGTTTTGATGATGGTTTGCTTGCAAAGATAAATTGGAGGATACTGCAATCCCCGAACTGCCTCCTCAGAGGTAAATATTGCCATAAGCAAGACTTCCTCTCTATTCCCATCACCTCAAACTCCTCTCACGGGTGGAGAGGTATCCTAATCGGACGTGATCTCCTGAAGAACCAACTTGGACGGGTAATTGGCAATGGCGAGGAGACTTCCCTCTCGGACGACCCGTGGCTCTCTCTAGACCACTCAACCAAGCCGTTTGGACCTCCAAACCTGCACGATCAGACCATGAAGGTCTCAGCCCTACTAAATGACCATACCAAAGAATGGGATAAGGTGAAGATCCAAGAGACTATTCCACATTACATGAAGGAGATCCTAGCAATCAGGCCAAGCAGACAAGGAGCACCCGACTCCTTTATATGGCTACCCACGAAATCAGGCGAGTACTCAGTCCAAACTGGATACCATATAGCAATGGCCATGATGACGGACCCAGACCTACAACAAGAGCAACCTCAGATCAATTGGATGCAAGATATTTGGCTCGCGAAATGCTCACCTAAGATGAAGGTTTTCCTTTGGAAGGTTGTACAAGAGGCCATACCTTTGGGTGAGAACCTCTTGAACCGAGGTCTCATCGACAATGCATGTTGCATCCACTGCGGAGACCTAGAAACGACCAATCATCTCTTCTTCCACTGCAAATTCTCCTCTAAGGTATGGAAACTATCTCCATACAGTAAACCCATTAACCCGAACCATCTCCAATCATTCACGGCCACCCTTACCTCATCCAAATCGTGGATCTGTCTCCCTCCTACGGGGATCGGAGCCGGAACGCTCTTCCCGTGGATTTGTTGGGCCATCTGGAAGACCCGAAACCTCTTGCTATTCGAAAATCGACGATTCACACCTGCGGATACAGTATCAAAGGCCATAAGTGAAGCTCAGGAATGGCAATTGGCCCAATACACCAAGCAAACAGCGGATCGAAGCCCTAATCAACCTAATCCTCCATTGTCACTACCAAATACAATTACCTGCTTTACAGATGGAGCATGGTGTAAGGAAACTGGAATCGGCGGATTCGGATGGATCTTCAACAACTCTGAAGGATCGCAAATGAGACGAGGACAATCAGTGGATCGATGTGTCTCCTCTGCTCTGGTAACAGAAGCCCTCGCAATCCGATCGGCGCTACACCAAGCTCTAGAGGAGGGATTCACTAACCTTCACGTCAAATCAGACGCTCGTGACTTGATCCGAGCTATAAACCTGCAGGAGCAAGTCAAGGAGATCTACGGACTCCTCTTTGACATCCACGCTATTGCGTCTATGTTCACTTCTATCGATTTCACCTTTGTTCCCAGATCGAGCAATATTGTGGCGGATTCAATCGCACGGGAAGCAAAAAGTCATTTAATTTTGCATGTAGCTTCTCTCCGAACAGGGGACCCACCTTGTATTTTGTGGTTGAGTTTTTAATGAGAATTTAAGAGTTGTTCAAAAAAAAAAGGAGAAGAAGACTAGACTGTCACCAAAAACTTAAAGATTTCGGAAAATATATCATAAAAGGTAAAGAGGAGGAGAGTTGCTTTGAACAACTCTCAAAATTACATTATACATTGACATATCTATATACTTTCTTGGAAATTTTAGTTACATGAGCTAATAATCATCTTGGGCTTGTCTTGGGCTGCTATTGTTCTTATTGTTGGTAGGTACATGGTATTGAAAATCATCAGCTGAAACAGTTGGAAACAAAATAACAAATTATCTATTCATATTCACATTTAATATATATATATATATGCGCTGCAATAAACGAGAGTGTCATATGTTTTTAGGGAAATTAACTGAAATAAACGAGTGGCCACCATGTCTAGGATAATACAATTATGCGTTCCCAAAAATGTAAAAAAAATTATATTTTGGAACATTAGCTTACGTTATTTTTACGACAGTTTATGTTTTGTTTCAATTATTTTGAGTGCTAATCTTACAAATTCATATTTTTATATTTTCTACTCCTTTACTAATTAATTAACCCATCAAATAATTTCAATTATTGTTAAAATATTTTTAGTTTATTATACTAATCAGAACATATTAAAATTCACTACAACCAATGTTTAGTTATATGTCAAAATAAAATCCACCAAAACACTTAATTTGTTTTTGTTATACGTCAAATGTTTTAGTTAGACGTCAAATTCTGCCAAAACACTCTTATGTCTTTAATTTGTATGTGTGTCAGTGTGTGTACTTTCTTTGTTATTAAACCGAAGCAATTTCTGTAGTCTTATACTCTTATTATGTCAATTTCAAACTGTTTTTTTTTTCAAACAGTCGCCTAATAAACCTTGAACGATACTTGAAAAAGATGATAACTAACGTCAAAACCGAAAGTTTTCATTTTTATTGAGGACAAGATGTATTCACAATGAAACATAAAAAAAGACTACCGATTACAACTCATGATGACATTAAAAAACCATAAACAAGATCAAAATCAACCGATTGCATGAGAGCCGCCACACAGCGAAATCTTGATCTTATGATATATTATTATATATGTTGCTTTACTCTTCACCACTTACCATTTATGTGGGGTTGGGATCAGCTCAAGAGGAACCTTCTTGGCGATGACGAAAGCTCCAGCTTCTTCCATGTCGATGTCTTCAATGGTCATTCCTTCAGGCAAACTCCAATCGAAGAAGTACAGAACGTTAAGTAAACCAAGCTCGACGATAGTTATCCCTGTGGCCATCCCGGGACAGATCCTGCGACCAGCACCGAATGGCAACAACTCGTAATGTTGACCCTTATATTCGACAGGGTTATCGATAAATCTCTCGGGGATGAAATCGTTAGGGTTTTCCCAACAATTGGGATCACGTCCTATTGAGTAAGTGTTGATCTCGATCATTGTGTTCTTGGGAATATTGTAGCCTTGGATCTTTAAGTCTGACATTGCCTCTCTTGGGAGCAAGAGAGGAGCTGGTGGATGTAATCTGAATGTTTCTTGGATCACAAGTTTCAGGTAGTGAACTTTTTCAAGATCTTGTTCCGTGATTTTTCCTTTGTTGTCTCCGAGAGTTGCTCGAATCTCTTGTTGGAGTTTCTTCATCACTCTCGGATGTCTTGTTAGCTCTGTCATCGCCCATATCATCGTGATCGCTCCTGCGTTTACTCCAGCTAAAAACACATCCTGAACATACAACAAACAAATATAATTAGCTACATTAATATTTGATAGAAGAATTAAAATATATAAAAAATAATACTTAAAACATTCTTATACTCACCGACATGACTCCTTTTAAATGATCATATGTGACCTTAAAAGAACCAACTTTGCTTTGATTATTGATCATATCCAACATGACACCAACGATGTCTGAATGATCTTGAGATTGTTCGGTTTTTAAATGATCATCGATCACGTACTGAAAGAAGTTACTAAGCCTGGCAAAGGCTTTGTGCAAATCTGAGTGTTGACCTGATATCCTGTCTATAACCCATCCAAGACCAGCGGGGAAGAAGTCAGTGAACGCGAATGAGCCAAGATTGGTCTCAGACTCGAGCACAAGCTCTTCAACTTTGTCCATGTCGACAAAATCGCATTCGTGGAAATTCTGTCCAAAAGCAAGTCTACATACGATACTAGCGGTAAGAGAGAAGAGAGCTTTTCTCAAATCCACCAAAGTGTGTGTCTCGGCGGATTTCGAGAGTTTCTTGACAAGCAACTCACTCTCTTCCTCTCTTATATACCTGAAAGCTTTTAGCTTTTTTGAGCTAAAGAGCTCGAGCATCCCAAGCTTCCTCATTTCTCTCCAGTCATCACCGTATTGGGCGAAGCCAATATCTTTGTAGTTGTAAGAAAACAGCCTGGTCGCGGTTAGCTTTGGTCGGGTACAAGTCTCGAGATCATGAGTCTTGAGAACTTCTTCAGCTCCTTCTCTCGTGGAGAACACAACCACCGGGACCACACCGAAACGAAGAAACATCACGGGTCCATAGTCTTGAGAGAGTTTATGGAAAGATCTGTGGAGAGATTTTCCAAGTTGATGCATGTTTCCGAGGAGCGGTAGACCTAGAGGTCCCGGAGGAAGCTTCCCTTTAGAAGGTGAGAGCTTTATCAAGAAGAATAAAAGAAGAGGGAAGAGTAAGAAGAAACTGAGAAAGATAGACATTTTTTATTTATTTTCTCTCTGTTTTCGTAGGTTTCTTGTTTATGCTTTGGAGTGGGATAGCAATGAGGTCTTGATACGTAATTTATAGACAACAAATGTAGCTAGTAGTAAAATTTGACTTATTCAATGTTTTGTCTTTATTAAATTAGAAAAGTTGAATAGCCTGGCAACTAACTTTAAGGCACGTGGTGTTTTGTTTTGTTTTGTTTTTTCGCAAATAGTGAATCCACTAAAGATTAAAAAAAAGAACAAACCTTCAGAATTCTTGTACGGATGAAGAACCACCGGCATATTCGTTGACACAACTGGCTGGGCAGTTAACCTGGACGGACCCAGAAACGATAAGAACGATCTCTAGAGAACCCTTCTTCGTCTTTTTTTTGGCGTAGGCACATTGTTTAAAAAGTAAACTACTATTTTGATGGTAGCATGCCATTGCATCTTCTAATTTTCATTTTGTAAAATGCGGTATTTCCTATTTATTTATATTTTTCTAACAAAGATCATATTAGTATTTGCAAAGTGATTTTCGTGAATGGAGCCACCACGTTAACTCTCAGCCGCGGAATTACCAAGATGCCCTTAATGAAAATCTATTATTAAATCTTCTGAATTTCCTTTTTTAATTATTTCACAATTTCGTTTTTTATATAAAAGTTCATTATTTCCTTATTAATTTCCTTATTAAATATTGATAATTATCCTTTTTTTTTTCCTCGATTTATATTTATCACTTAAATAAATATCCTAACTATCATATTACCGCACCACTTTTCTGGAAGAAATCAAATAATTAGGTATTTTAAAAAAACTCTAGATTTTACAACCGACTTAGTCCTATTTAACAAGCAAAATAAACAGAATTTCGTTTCTTCTTTTTCGTGTTCTAAATTCTTCGATTCCATATTTCATCTTTTGTCATGTAGGTTTATAGTTATTGCTAGATCTTAGTTGTATTAGATCTAATGTTTAACTGATTATTCGTTATTTTCTGGAAATTTTATTCAAAGAATCGCATCTAACTTCTACTTCTTTTACCTTTATAACAGTAAATTCCAGGTTTGTTAGCTAATTGAGTCAAAGAAATCAACTATGGTACCAACTCAAAAAAAATGCATTGACAAAAATTAGTGGTATGTACATCTTTCGTTTTTATTTTCAACTTAAATCTTATGAAACCCTAATTTGAATAAACTTATCTAAAAAGATTTTGTAAAATGTGGGTTTAGGTGTGCGGATTGGGGGGGAGGGGGTTGTTATTTGGTAGTGGTGTTACAATGTGGGGTTTGGGTTATTTAGGGGGTGGTGTTACACTGTGGGTTTGGGTTTAGGGTGTAGGGTTTAGTTTTTGGTGTATTTTAAAAAAACTTGAATTATTACAGAAGAATTTCATAATAAAAAAATCATTTATTTGAAATTTATATCTACTTTCAAAATTACATTCACAAATAGAAAAAAAAACTAAAACAACTAAAGAAAATCCAGAATTGAAAGATAACAAAACTAATAAATTTTTAAAAGACCTCAACTATATAAAGATAGAATCTATTTCAAAAATATTGAAAATTTTAACTATCGAAATGAATTGGTAGGTGATATGCAAGACACAAACAAGACATAATAGATACATAAGTAAAAGAAAAGAAAACAGTGAAAAAGAAGATGAAAAATTTAGAAAAGAAAAAGAAAAGTCGAACATGAGGAAAAAGAAAGGAAAGAAGAAATAATGGAATGTGAAGAAAATTCCAAAACAAATGAAGAATATTACGTAGAAGAACAAGAAAGAGAAGATAAAAATAAGAACTCTATAAATTAATAAGACTTTGATATTTTATTAATTTATAGAGTTATTAATTTAACGATTTTGACTAAACAAAAATTAAAAATAATGACAAGAAACTTCTCAATTTTCATTTATATCAAAGAAGAAATTTCTCTCTGAAGGTAAATTTGTTTAACTTTTTTCTTTTATATTTCTGTATTTACTTTACATTTTTTGGTACTTGTCATTTTGTTATAATACCTTTAGATGCGGTTAAGCATAAAAAGACAATTATCGTGTCTAGAACTCTTCATAGTTTTTGGATGCAATTCAAAAATACAACACTAAATTTTTTTGATGTTATAAGAAATTTTAGAGACTAACTACAAAAGGCATTCAACTTTAAAAAAAAAAGCAAACAACATTACATTACATTTATATTCTAGTAGGTTAACTTATTTCTATATATTTATATTTTTTTATATGATAATTATTAATTTATGATATTATTGGGACCATATTTTACATAGGAGTTTTAAAAAAATTATTATCTTATTATTTTATCGAATTGTGTCATATTTTACATTAACCCGATTCGGGACCGAGAGATTTTATTAATTTATCGTGATTATGAATTTATAGAGTATTAATTTATAGAGTTTCTACTGTAAGACACCTCAAGATAACAAAAATATGAAGTTTGCGAAAACAAAAACGATGAATACAATAAAAAGTTGTACTACTTATATTATTTAAATCTTTAATTAATAATTGTATTTAAAAAATATTTACCCGCACAAGGTGCAGGACAACCACCTTGGTTGTTATTTGGTAGTGGTGTTACAATGTGGGGTTTAGGTTATTTAGGGGGTGGTGTTACACTGTGAGTTTGGGTTTAAGGTGTAGGGTTTAGTTTTTGGTGTATTTTAAAAAAAACTTGAATTATTACAGAAGAATTTCATAATAAAAAAATCATTTATTTGAAATTTATATCTACTTTCAAAATTACATTCACAAATAGAAAAAAAAACTAAAACAACTAAAGAAAATCCAGAAATGAAAGATAACAAAACTAATAAATTTTTAAAAGAGCTCAACTATATAAAGATAGAATCTATTTCAAAAATATTGAAAATTGTAACTATCGAAATGAATTGGTAGGTGGTATGCAAGACACAAACAAGACATAATAAATACATAAGTAAAAGAAAAGAAAACAGTAAAAAAGAAGATGAAAATTTTAGAAAAGTCGAACATGAGGAAAAAGAAAGGAAAGAATAAATAATGGAATGTGAAGAAAATTCCAAAACAAATGAAGAATATTACGTAGAAGAACAAGAAAGAGAAGATAAAAATACAGTAGAAACTCTATAAATTAATAATGTTGGGACTTTGATATTTTATTAATTTATAGAGTTATTAATTTAACGATTTTGACTAAACAAAAATTAAAAATAATGACAAGAAACTTCTCAATTTTCATTTATATCAAATAAGAAATTTCTCTCTGAAGGTAAATTTGTTTAACTTTTTTCTTTTATATTTCTGTATTTACTTTACATTTTTTGGTACTTGTCATTTTGTTATAATACCTTTAGATGCGGTTAAGCATAAAAAGACAATTATCGTGTCTAGAACTCTTCATAGTTTTTGGATGCAATTCAAAAATACAACACTAAATTTTTTTGATGTTGTAAGAAATTTTAGAGACTAACTACAAAAGGCATTCAACTTTAAAAAAAAAAAGCAAACAACATTACATTATATTTATATTCTAGTAGGTTAACTTATTTCTATATATTTATATTTTTTATATGATAATTATTAATTTATGATATTATTGGGACCATATTTTACATAGGAGTTTTAAAAATGTTATTATCTTATTATTTTATCGAATTGTGTCATATTTTACATTAGCCCGATTCGGGACCGAGAGATTTTATTAATTTATCGTGATTATGAATTTATAGAGTATTAATTTATAGAGTTTCTACTGTAAGACACCTCAAGATAACAAAAATATGAAGTTTGCGAAAACAAAAACGATGAATACAATAAAAAGTTGTACTACTTATATTATTTAAATCTGTAATTAATAATTGTATTTAAAAAATATTTACCCGCACAAGGTGCAGGACAACCACCTTGTGTCTAATATACACTAAGGGATTATTGCCATATATATCTATATATATTAATAAAACAATATATATTGATAACCCGGTTGAACCGGTTAAACCGGATTGACCTATGACCCAGAGGTCTTTTCGTTTCAGCCTCCGGTATGGTTTTAGAAACACTGATTACCAGCTTTAGGTAGGGCCGAGGGTGACAGGGATGTAGGGATTTATGATTCCGACGAAATTGATTTTCAAATGAGATTTAATTTAAGATATTTGAGAAACAATGGCAAAAGAATCGCATTTATGAATATTCATATTTGCATTTCGAAGGTGAATGTAATGAGTTTCTAATTTCACAATGATGACTAAACCCAAAATGTGACAAAACTAACTCATGAACCAAAAATTGGAGAATTGGTTATATATAGCTATAAAATAAAATTATTAAAAATATTAAAAATAAAAGTAAAAATTGTAAAGGATTTTGTATCGACGAATTTAAAAAAAAAATAAAAAATTAGAAAATTCATAGAAAAGTTTTAAAAAACATAAAAACAGAACCCGCGCTATGCGCGGGTAAAATACCTAATATATATATACCTAATATATATATATATATAGTTGTTTTATCTAAAAAATGAAGTCTAACTTTTTTTAGTAAAGACTCATATTAACTTTTAAACCATATTTATCATCATTCATCATAATTTAAAATTTTATATGAAAATACTATCTCCATGAGATATGATCTTTTTAGAAAAATATTTTGTTTTAAAAAAAGATGAACGTTTTCTGTTTTCAAAGTATTTTTATTAGTTATTAATGTTGACTTGTAAACTTCAAAAAGAAATGAAATTATTGAATTGTCACTGGTTAAAATTTATAATAAAACTGTTAATTACAAAAACAGTGCATATATAGTTAAGTTTTAATTTGTTTTCTTATTATTTGTGAAAACTCTAGAAAATCATCTTTCATAAAGAGAGAGAATAATTTATTTTAGTTCGGTGGTGATTAGACCTAAGCTATACTTATTCCATACATAGCAATATGATTTCTATGACCAAGCACTCTAAATGTCCTCGATTTAGTATATAAATATAGAAAAGCATGTGATTATAGCTGAATATCGTTCGTTCTTGAATATCTAAAAAGGGATGAAAAATGAAAAAGAAAACTAATAAAAGTCAAGGTGGGGTTCATTTTGACTGACCGTCTGGCCTTGTTCATCTCCTCCGGTAGAGCAATACTAGGCTTTGTGGCGTAAAGACGTACACGAGTCTAACCAAACAATCTTCATGAAGAAACGCAAAAATATACGTGACGTATCAGTCCCAAAAAAAAAAAAAAAAAATTATGTGACGTAGGACTGTGTTATTGTACTATCGTCAAATGATCTGTTCACGTATTTCATTTTACGAGGTTTGAATTTTATAGGATCTTTATCAATTACTTCTTTTACAAAAAGTCACGAATCGTGTCCGGTCAGTTGCTAAACAATGTGAGCTACTTTTTGCTAATGATCAGACGCGAGAGAAGAATAACTCTATTTTTTAATGCATTAGTATCTCAGATCTATCTAGTTACCTAGTTGGTAAATACAATATAGTTGAAGGCTGGTGATGTTGATATACTATTTTATCCAGATTCAATACCCAATGGTGTGGCAGACCAGTAAGCAAAGAATGCTCTCAATTTGTATGCGTTGAACAATGTTTAATTTTAATAGAAGTCAGCTGGTGTTTCAAAAACAAAAGAAAAAAGTATATAGTGGAATTTGGATCGATGTACGTGTTTCTTGAAGTTCGAGTACGTTTGATTTCTAGAAATCTTCATTGGATAGTAGTATATAGTATATAGTACGTTCAGAGCCGTCCCTGAGTTGTGTAGGGCCGCAAGCCTTGGAAAAAAATGGGCCAAATTTATTAAAAAATAATTGAATTTAAAAAACAATCCATACAGAAAATAAAGGAGAATACACGGGTTGGCATTGCTGTGAATCGAACTCAGGACCATAGATAAGAAAACGCCTTACTAAAGCCACTAGACTAAAGAAACATCTCGGTAATTTAGGGCCGAAAATGTATATATAAAAACAAGGGCCGCAAGCATCAGCTTGCTTTGCTTGCTCCCAAGGACGGCTCTGAGTACGTTCAAATAGTTGACCGTCAATGTGATTTTTCAAGGTTGGAAACAAAATGCAGTCTCTTGAGATGTTTTAGTGCAAAACTTGGAATTCGTTTTGCCATCTTCTTATGTGTAACGTGAGTGCGATTTCTAGGTTTTCAATAATATGTAGCAGCCGACTATTTATGGCGGTTTGATACAACAATCCGTGTAAACTCTCTATATATACATATGGAGCCATGGAAACCACTAGGATTATGACCTATTAATGATGACTTTTAGTGTGAGTGAAGACATGCTTAACAAAATTGTGGTGATACAAAAAGCTAACCGAAAAAATATCATCATTTCTTCGGAGTTAAAACTAGTTGATGGATAGATGTATCCACAAATAGAGAAGAGGCAACAACTAAGAGCTGTGATTGTCAATAAAATGACAAGCATATTAGATTAGCCCACGACGAATCTCGATCGTGAACTTTATTAAGTTGAAATAGGTCTGATGAAATGGATCCTTATACAATGAAAAAATCAAGAGGAAAGGTGGTACTTACGTACATGGACGAAAACTGTAACATCCCGATTTCTAGTACTATATATCATTGAAGTGTAATTATTTTATTTTATTAGAAATCCAAAGAAAACTACATAATTAGTTAAGCGTGATTATACTAGAGTAGTGTAAATCTATCAAAAATTTATTTGCAATATTGTGTGTGAGTGAGAAAACACGAAGAAAAATCGATCATGTAGCGATTGCATGAACATAAGATTAAACAAGTCTTTAAAACTTCTGGAAAATAACGCACTGATCTATGGCTACTAGCTACCTTTCAATATATTTAATAATTTAGCAAATAAAGTATCTAAAACCGGGTGAATTTAATTAGTCTTTTACGGTGTACAAAGATGCTTTTTTCTAGTACCACGTTTCTTTTATTTGTTTGTAACTTTTCAAAACCTACACACCAATTATGAATATGATGAATGTTTAATTACTTAAATCTTAGAACATAATAATAAGAGATTTTTTTATTTGATAAAACTTATAACTTTTTTGAAGGCATTTTTGTTTTATGGCGTCTATAAACAGCATTAATTGAATGATGGAATGCTAAGGTTGGACCTAATCACATGTTTGGATGAATTTGGTCTTTTCCGGACTACTTAAACCCGCCTTGACTTTGATGGCTTTCAATTTAACTTCAACTTTCTTTATCTTTTATGATCAATCATCAATTTTAGTTATATTTTTAATGAATTAGTCAATATAATAATACAATACAATGTATTCAACATTAGTTTCCCGGATTATTTAATAAAGAGAAAGTTTCTAACTGAGTTCCTTATGCAAGTCGAAAAAAATCAGAACCATGCGATTTTAGTTAGCGTAAGTATTCTGTTACTTGGAATGAATATCAATGTGTTAAAAAAGGTTAATCTTGGTGAGATTGATACTTAAGCTGAAATGCGAAAGTACTGTATCGACGAACCTTTTCTAAAAACACAAAACTGTGATACATGAATTCAGTTAAGCGACTAAACCGATTTTCTTTCTGGATTTAAACAAACCGGTTCTTGAAAGAACGGATTCTAGAAGATTTTGGCCGCCGGACATCGGAGATTTAATGTTTTTTTTGTCATGGACCACAAATGTCCTTTTATAATTAGTTTTTTATCTCTTGAAAAATCTTTGACTTAAGTCAACGTAAAGGACCACATATGTCCTCTAGTGGGACTCCTCATCATCCAAACAAGCCCATGCCCAAAAACAACGCTCCAAGTTCGAAGCAGAAATCGAACGCCTTGAGACCTAAGTTAAAACATTTTTTCCTTACACTCACAAGCACATATGCAACGATAACACAAAACCACGTATAGTTCTTACAACGTGATTAATCTTCTTCACTCACAGCGCAAAACAGCATAATAAACATAAACAAAAACAGATCAACTCAAGAATGTCGTTCTCTTTTCCTGTTTCATTTTGCTCTTTCCTCTCTTTTCTGTTTTCTTCAAAAGCCTTACCTATGAAAGGGAAGCTTCCTCCGGGACCTATTGGTCTTCCAATCATCAGAAACTTGCACCAGCTTGTAAATTACTCTTCACAGAAATATATTTTCATAAACTCTCTCAAGAGACAAGAGTATGGACCCGTGATGTTTATTCGTTTTGGTGTGGTTCCTGTCGTTGTTCTCTCCACAAAGGAAGCAGCTGAAGAAGTTCTCAAGACTCATGATCTCTCGAGTCTTGTACCCGACCAAAGCTAGTCGCGACCAGGTTGTTTACTTACAACTTCAAAGACATTGGCTTTGCTCAATACGATGATGACTGGAGAAGATGATGAAGCTTGCGATGCTCGAGCTATTTAGCTTGAAAAAAACTAAAGGCTTTCAGGTATTTAAGAAAATTTCTCAACCAAAGAACAATTCTTATTCACACTTTGGCTTTCGACCGGTGTAGATTGAGCGATAAATTTTTTCACTTGGAGCTAACAGCGATTAAATCATTTATTTTTGATATCAAATATATTTTTGTTATGAGTAGAAAACTTCCCCCTCTAAAATACTAGTGACATTTTTTAACAGTTCTCTGCACACTTGCTAGTTGCTAGACCCCGTACAAAATGTTTATTTGATCTTGACGTAAAACAAATGAAATTAAATTATTGTTAAGTAAAATACATCAACTAATTTACGTAGATATAGTAGTGTATTGATGGAGATCGAAGTCGAGTGAGAATCACTTATTTGAAGTCGAGTGAGAATCACTCATGATCAGTTAAAATGTTCTTACAAGAAAAATAGATTTACAATATACTTAATTAGAATATATGTTCCTTTTTAGAATAAAAAAAAAAAAGAGAATACACTAGAGAAAAATACAACTTTAACTATTATAGAGATACCTAAAATAGAATACAAAATAAGGAAATACTATGGTCTAAGAACATTCATGGGAGTTGGGTTACCTCAGAGAATTATTGTCTCTGTTGTACATTTACTTATCTCATCTAATAGTTATTGGCCTTTCCTTCGACACATTAACTTCATGGTCCAAATTTCTATTACAGTTTAGTCGGCTGATTCAATGCTGTCTTATTCAGTGTTTTGGCTAATTTTTCGACTTCGCCTACTTTCTCGACCACATGTTAGTCAATGAAACTTTTCAAGGATAATCCTTACTCAAAAACAATTTGTTTATCGAGTGTCATTGGCCCAATTAGATAAACATAAAAGAAAATTTTAAACATATATCGTATAAGATCGAGTGACGCTTGATACGAGATCATACCAAATGCTTAAATTCAAACTAAAAGAAAAATTCGAAACATCACTTTCTCAAATCGAATTTTTATAAAATAGCTATTGTAATCTTACCATAGATTTTACTTATCTTAATAGTAAAATTTAATTAGTCCAATAACTTTTTATTTCATATAAAATTTTAATTAGCTAAAATTAAATGATATGTTACAATTTGTTCTATGGACGAAACATTTGATTTTTCTCACTAGTTTCTTTATCTGTCTTTTCAATTAATATAATATGATAGAAAACAATATTATCTTGTGATGCCAGTAAACCAATGACGTATTCGATAATAAAGTTTTTTAAGGTGATGTTAGGTTTCGTTTTGGACACCAGCTCTTAATTGATTGATCAATCAAACATGTGGTTGTGGTCTTGTGGACCAACGTAAATAAAGATATTGCCTATATAACTTGCCTTCTTGACGATTATCTGAACGTCCAAATTTAACTGATACCTAGCTATTAGATAAGAGTTTACGACAGTAACGACACTATTCAATTCCAAAAGCAACGGATTTAGCAGTGGGTTTATAAAAATACTCTAGTGTTTATGTCTTTTAGAAATAAACACAATATATATCACGTAGAGAAAAAATAAAAAGCAAACAAGATTTTGAAACTTGGCAATATACCCATCTAATGAGTGTAACGAGATCATTGTAACGTGATCTCGAGTTCACTTGTTGAACTATCCTTTTCACTTTCTCGTGTAACTTTAGTACTTTACACCAACCAAACTAAATATTTCATCCTACAACTACAAATATTTGAGACGATTTAGATTAGGTTCGTGTTTTAGATCTGCTTGTGTGGTGTTTAATGTATCGTGTTTTCATCAGTTTCACATCTCTTATTTCATGCTTATATAATTAAGGTTGAATGTGTGGGGGTGTATTTGGATTTCAGATATAAGATGATTTTGGGTGAATAGAAGTGGTTATGATTTTAATAAAAACATTCCATGACATTTGAATTATATTTTGAATTAAGAAACTCCATTAAAATACCTTATAATCGTTAGAAATCACCTAAACCTACAACTTAAAATATTTCTAATAACATTGAATTTTAAAGAACATTTTAAAATCACCAGTTCAATAACACTGGTATTTTAAAACATTTTAAATTTTTATTTTTAAACCATTTCCACCAGCTATTAAAAATTTGTCATTTTAACAAACAAATCACTCAAAATCATCTTAAAATTTTATAAGATAAAATCATCAAATAAAAACTATTTATAATACAAGATTAGAATAAAAATAATATGAGATGAGATGAATTTTCTAATCAAATATCAGTGGATAGATATTGGCTGACATCACTAAACGTTTTTCTTTTGCCATCTTCTATTTTCGTCAGGGAAAAACTACACCGCTCACCGCTGTATGCATCAAATGCTACTTGATTAAATTATAAAACATGATGAAAATATACTCCTTATAGCTACTCACCAAATTGACCTTTCATTTTATTTATCTTTACAAGATTCTAGAATGAATCTTAAGCAGATAATTGAAAATCTTAATTTTTGTTTTTTCTTGCCGCTTTGAACAATTAAAATACTAAAGCCTGAGCTATATCAAGTTCGTTTTCTCGGTACAACCCAAAGAAAAAAAGAAAATGGCAATCCCTTTGCTCTGTCTCCTATTCATCACCTTCGCTTCGTTAATCTTTGTCGCCAAGAAGATCAAACGCTCTAAATGGAATCTTCCTCCAAGTCCTCCACAATTTCCGATCATCGGAAACTTACACCAAGTTGGAGAATTGCCTCACAGGTCACTCCAACGTCTAGCCGAAAGAACCGGACATGTTATGCTTGTTCACTTCGGTTTTGTCCCTGTAACTGTGATCTCATCGAAAGAAGCAGCTGAAGAAGTGCTTAGAACTCATGACCTAGACTGTTGCAGCAGGCCTAATCTTGTCGGGACGAGGCTACTCTCGCGTGATTATAAAGATATTGGTTTTACACCATACGGTGAAGAGTGGAAGGAACGACGCAAATTCGCGGTACGTGAGCTTTTCTGTTTGAAAAAGGTTCAGTCTTTTAGGCATATCAGAGAGGAAGAGTGTAACTTTTTGGTCAAGGAACTGTCCAAATCCGCGGTTGATCAGTCTCCGGTCGATCTGAGCAAAACCCTTTTCTGGCTAACTGCAAGTATCCTGTTTAGAGTTGCCTTGGGACAGAATTTCCGCGAGAGCACCTTTATCGATAAAGACAAGATCGAAGAACTCGTGTTCGAAGCCGAGACTGCACTAGCTAGCTTCACTTGCTCTGATTTCTTCCCCGTTGCTGGACTTGGATGGCTCGTTGACTGGCTTTCTGGACAACACAAGAGGCTCAACGATGTTTTCTTCAAGCTAGATGCTCTGTTTCAACATGTGATCGATGATCATTTGAGTCCTAGAAGATCAAGAGATCATGAAGACATCATCGATTCAATGTTGAACGTGATCCATAAACAAGGGAAAAACGATTCCTTAAAGCTCACGGTAGATCACATCAAGGGGTTTCTTGCGGTAAAATCAAGAACTTCTTTAAACACATTTGCACGAATCATTGAATGTAAGTTTTAAGACTTTAGTTTATTTGTTTGCTTGTAGAATATATTTCTCGCAGGGATAGACACAGGGGCCATCACCATGATATGGGCAATGACAGAGCTCGCAAGAAACCCAAAACTGATGAAGAAAGTTCAAGGAGAGATCCGAGACTGCCTTGGAAACAATAAGGAGAGAATAACAGAAGAAGATGTCGAAAAAGTTCCATACTTGAAGATGGTAGTAAAAGAAACATTTAGATTACATCCTGCAGCTCCTCTCATACTTCCAAGACACACAATGGCTCACATCAAAGTTCAAGGCTATGATATTCCTCCCAAAAGACGGATCTTGGTCAACGTTTCGGCGATAGGAAGAAATCCTAAACATTGGACAAATCCAGAAGAGTTTAACCCGGAGAGGTTTATCGATAGCCCTGTGGATTATAGAGGACAGCATTACGAGCTCTTACCGTTTGGATCTGGTCGGAGGATATGTCCTGGGATGCCGATGGGGGTTGCTACCGTAGAATTGGGACTCTTGAATTTACTTTACTTCTTTGATTGGAGAGTTCCTGATGGGATGACACATAAAGATATCGATACACAAGAAGCTGGTACTCTTACTATCGTCAAGAAAGTACCTTTGAAGCTTGTTCCTGTTCGAGTTTAGTGATCAGACCAAACTCCAAACTTTGAAGATGTTTTGAATAAATCCTGCAAGCTTTTAAAATAAATAAATATGCAAGCTTGCCCTGATAACACCATAAATATGTTTATGAAGAATATTTTTCCGGAAAAGACTAAGATTTTTATTTTTATATCTTATTATATAAAGCTGGATGCGCGCGACGTGGTTGCGACACGTAGGATTTTTATAAAATTTAGGATTGCGACATGTGTCACTTTTAATGTTATGTCCGTTAAGATCGTGACATGTGTCTTAGAAAAAAGGAAAAAAATAATAATTAAAAAAAATAGATAAAGGAAAAAAAACGAAATTTTAATCTTTTATAGTTAAAAGAAAAAAATTATATTTGTCATATCCTAATAGAAAAAGGTTTCCATTCATCAAATTTATATTATCCAAACACATATAAGATTCAAATTAATGAAATAAATAAAATCCTATTAGTACATGAAATAGGTTAGGTAAACTAAATTTCCTATAACTGCATGGAATAAGTTACATGAACCCCTATAAAAAGAGAGTTAAAGTAGTTTTTTTTCTCATTCACAAACTCATCAAAGCAAACAACATGATAGCAATACGTATGATTTTTATAACTCACAAAATTGCGATATGTGTTTATATTCCCATTATGAACAGGAAAAAAACAATATATAATAAGCTATTGCGATTCAATTATGTGCTTCTATCTTTTGTATAATCTTTTCTCTCATAAAAAATCATGTATTTAAAATTCATGGTATCAATGAATAATATTTAACTCTATATTAGTTGGATAGAAATCAAAATTATTGTCGATACATGTATCTAACTCTATATCGGTTGGATAGAAATCAAAATTATTGTCGTTACATGTATTTGATCCGGTGAAGACATGTTAATTGGAAAAATGTTAAACAGATATAAAAACTAGAAAAAAAAACTAACTAATAATGAAAATGAAAATTTATAATGGTCTGAGTCAAAAACAAAATTGAGAAAGAAACAATATAAATAGAAAACTAACAAATTAATTATCAAGCAACTAACTAATATTAAGAAAATATAATGAACCGATATTCTAATTTTAAATAGTTTAATTTTCAATATTGTTAGGTAAAAATTATTAAATAAAGATTTCATCAATTGAAATCTCTTGAATGGAATAATAAAGTTTTGTTGAATTAATTAATCAGTTGATCATATTTAGACATATATAAGTCTTTCTATATTGGATAAAAATAAAAATAAAACAAATTAATTCATTTTTCATATCATGAATTCAAAAAAAATATCAATTACAATAAAAACGTAAAAAGGTTACCGATCTTATTTTATTTAAATATTTTTATCGGGTTTTTAATATTATTCTGTTTACTTTAAAATGATCAAATTTGGTTTAATACTTTTCCATGATTTTATTACAAAATCTTAAAATAAACCCGCGTATACGCGGGTCTTAATCTAGTTTTATATAAAGGGTCACTATGTGATGTATCTGTAAGATTCTGCGTATGTGATTTGTTGATTCCGGAATTTCGTTTGTGGGATCAGGACGCAACGCTGCATGGATCATTCTGGGTTTGGATCTGATTTTACCAAAAAGAAATTTGGCGGAATTTAATAATTTCAGTAGTATAGTCCTTAAAATCTTATAATTTTTTTAATTGTTTTAATGGAAGTTGCTGGAAGAATGTATGTAGACCAGAAACCTATGACAATAGTGATCATATCCAGAAGGGAATTGTTTCTAACACTGGCCACTGCAGAGAACAAGCAGCTACATTCACGAGGGTGGAGGTGCATAGCGGTTCCTCCACATCGTTTTGGTATGACAACTGGTCTCCTCTGGGTAAACTTATCAATCTGGTCGGCGCTCGTGGATGCATCGACTTGGGGATACCAATTAGCTCGACGGTGGAAAGAGTCCTCGCTACTCACAACGCCGTCGACACCGAGTGGACATTTTAAACGGGATAGAAGAGGCTATTGATACCTACCGTCAGCGGGGAATCTCAACGAGATCCGATGTAGTTCTCTGGAGATATAAGGACGACAAGTTCAAGGCAAAGTTCAACTCTAAAACCACATGGGCTCTGCTTCGTGGAAATCAACCTGTTACAAATCCGTCACTAATCTCACGCAAGAACACTCACTCACTCAACGATGTTTGTCACTCGTTTGTTTGTGAAAGCGGAACTAAGAAGAAAACAGAACATAAAGTAAAGGAGCACACAAGAGTTTTTAACCCAGTTCGGTCTATCGATGTGATAGTAAAACCTACGTCTGGGGTCAGATCAATCCTGACAATTCACTAAGGAAGAAGGAATTCAGCTCATAACAGAGCTACAAGAGAGTACAACAATGGCAGTCGCTCTCTTAGGTTTTAGATGCGGCGCTGCTTCTAATGAGGAAGACAAGACAGAGTATTTATACACAGCTAATACTCTGTCACAATTAGAGTCTTCGATTCCTTCTCTTCACACATCAAAACGCAGCACTTCATTTAGACACAAACCGGAAAACCCAAAGGAGATAACCAATTCTTCAAACCTTGTGTAACACACAGAACCAAATGTTACAACACAGAAATTTGAATCAAACAGCGATTCTGTAACACAACCTCTATGTGGATGGTATAAGGGCGTATGGTAATACTCTTTTACAACCTGGCTCGCTGCACACAATCGTTTGTCGACGGGTGATAGAATGCAAAACTGGAACGTTGGCGTCTCTGGTTTGTGTATATTCTGCGGTGATATGGAGAGCAGGAATCATTTATTTTTGGTTGCGCATACTCGGAGGAAATATGGGCAGCTCTGACTGGAAATCTGCTTGGTGTTCGATTTTCAGCACAGTGGGAAGACATCATTGCTCTTCTTCTCGATGAGAATCAAGAACAGATGCCTCTGTTCATTTTGAGATATGCATTTCAGGCGACGGTGTATTGGCTTTGGCGAGAGAGAAACGGGAGAAGACATGGCGAGGCTCCCACACCTCCATCACGCATGAAGCAAATCGATAAGCAAATTCGTAATCGATTCTCCTCCATCCGCACTCTTGGCGACAGAAGATATGAACATGGTTTGCAAACCTGGTTTGCTAACTTATGATTTTCCTCCTTTTTTTTTCAGTAACTTTTTGTGATTTCTCTCCTTTCTCAAACTCTTAAAACCCTCAGCTACAAAGTAGCATCTGATGTAACAAACGTTGTTTTTGGCTCGAATTAATTTAACATACAATTCGAAAAAGAAAAAAAAATATCCCGATGATATCCCAATGGCGAAAAAGAGAAGTATATGGATGAGTCAATTGCTTTTCCATAGAGTGATTTAGGGTTGTATAGTTTCTTTGTTAATCTATCTCGCAACTTCTAGTTGGAACTAGGAACTTTCATTGGATATTATAAATTAGTTATTATGGGACAATGAATATGCTTCGTATATACCTATGATCATTGATGCTTTTTATTTTGGTAACTCAGAAGATAGTCAAGTTACTATTCGTTATTAGTCATTCGGAAACAGAGTCTCGTTTCCAACATGTCAAAACAGAAAACAGAGATAGTAACTTGAACAGCTAAAACAGTTAAACAGCAAAATATGTGTAGTGTATATTTTTTACTACTAAAACACCATTTATTCAAGAACGGATAGAGTTTTTACTAATTGAAAACACAAATGGCCCGTTCAAGACTTTGTTACACAACTCTTTAGTTACTTTGGCCCGAGTGCCCACACGGCCCTTTGGAAAATTAAATTTTTGTTTTTTCTCGACGCTTTGAAGTTTCAACTCTTAACATACCAAAACAGAGCCACACATCATATTCATTTTCTGGATAACCCAAAGAGAAACAAAATGGCATTTTCCTTGCTCTGTCTTGTTCTCATCACCTTCGCTTCGTTAATCTTCCTAGGCAAGAAACTAAAACGCTCTAAATGGAATCTTCCTCCAAGTCCTCCCCAGTTACCGATCATCGGAAACCTACACCAACTTGGAGAATTGCCTCACAGGTCACTCCAACGTCTAGCCGAAAGAACCGGACAAGTTATGCTTGTTCACTTAGGTTTTGTCCCTGTAACCATAATCTCGTCCAAAGAAGCAGCAGAAGAAGTGCTTAAAACTCATGACCTAGACTGTTGCAGCAGGCCCAATCTTGTCGGGACGAGGCTAATCTCTCATGGTTTTAAAGATCTCGGTTTCACGCCATACGGCGAAGAGTGGAAGGAGCGGCGTAGGTTCTTGGGGCGTGAGCTTTTCAGTTCGAAAAAAGTTCAATCTTTTGGATATATCAGAGAGGAAGAATGTAACTTTCTTGTCAAGAAACTGTCAGAATCGGCAGCGGATCAATATCCAGCCGATCTGAGCAAAACCCTTTTCTGGTTAAACGCGGGTATTGTGTTTAGAACTGGGTTTGGACAGAGTTTCCAAGAGAGCAAGTTTATCGATCAAGACAATATCGATGAGCTTATCTTCGAAGCCGAGACAGCTCAGGCTAGTTTCACATTCTCCGATTTCTTCCCCGTTGCCGGACTTGGACGGCTCGTTGACTGGCTTTCGGGACAACACAAGAGGCTCAACGATGTTTACTTCAAGCTCGATGCTCTGTTTCAAGGTATCATCGATGATCATTTGAATCCCGGAAGATTGAAAGATCACAGAGATGTAATCGATGTAATGTTGGAAGTGGTTCATAAACAAGGCAAAGATGGTTCGTTGAAGCTAACAATAGATCATATCAAAGGATTTCTCACGGTAAAGAAAAGCAAACACTTCTTTCTTTATATTTTACATATTCACATGAAATATAATTAATTTAGTTTCATGGTGTGTTTTGCTAGAATATTTTTCTGGCAGGGATAGACACAGGAGCTCTTACCATGATATGGGCAATGACGGAGCTCGCAAGAAACCCTAAACTGATGAAAAAAGTTCAAGATGAGATCAGAGAACGTATTGGCAACAACAAGGAGAGAATCACCGAGGAAGATATCGGGAAAGTTCCATACTTGGACCTCGTGATCAAGGAAACATTCAGATTACACCATGCGGTTCCTCTTCTGCTCCCAAGAGAGACAATGGCTCACATCAAAGTTCAAGGCTATGATATTCCTCCCAAGAGACGGATCTTGGTCAACGCATGGGCGATAGGAAGAGATCCTAAACTATGGACGAACCCGGAAGAGTTTAACCCCGAGAGGTTTATCGATAGCCCTGTGGATTATAGAGGACAACATTTCGAGCTCTTAGCATTTGGCTCAGGTCGGAGGATGTGTCCCGGGATGGCGATGGGGATGGTTACTGTTGAATTGGGACTCTTGAACTTGCTTTACTTCTTCGACTGGAAGTTGCCTGATGGGATGACACATAGAGATATCGATATAGAAGAAGTTGGTTCTCTTACTACCGGCAAGAAAGTACCTTTGAAGCTTGTTCCTGTTCGTGTTCAGTGATCAGACCAAACTCCAAACTTTGAAGATGCTTTTGAATAGAAAATTCTACAAAGCTTCTTTGGTAACTGTAAGCAAATATAGAACCTCTATAATATTACACCACATATTACCGTTGTACTTTTAGTTCTGTATACTTGTTTTTCTCTTCCTCTGTAAACTCTGTATACAAAGAGAGCCTTCTCATATCTATAGAATCATCAAAAATTACAAACTTAATATGGTACTAGAGCTTTATCCGATTTTTTTTTGTTTTGTTTTTGTTTGATAACTTGTAAATCTGAGGTTTATGCAGGGGCAGACTAATCTCTGGAGAGCTGCAATCCACAAATATACCCTCTCTATGGATATTCAAATAGATCGAAAGCAAAAGTCCATATTCATGTGGTCAAATGGAGCTTTTTTTGTTCTGCATCTCCTTTTATCTCTCTTTGTTCTTCTTTGATTAATCTAATTCTCACTTGGTCCTCACAATTATCCAATGGTAGAAACCAAATCTTGAGCTACTTCCATGCATATCATAGTCCATGCAACAAAACCGCTATGTAGAATGACGAAACCGAGTGTTTACAAACAATATTTATAGAAAACAATATTAGCGTTACATCTTAATCCATATCTTGTTGGCTATGGCCCATAACTAACAAACAGTTTGGTAATTTGGTAATTTAATTTTTGATGGCAAAAAAAAAGTAATTAAGTGATTTTATTGAAGGTATTAAAGTAATAATATTTGTGAGAGTGAAATAGAGAATTTCATTTCTCAAAATTAATTTTAATAGAAAATTCATTTGCTTTTAATGGTGTACTAATTTAGGCTGAATTTTGGATATTTTATTGTACTAAACTAGCAAAGATATATATATCTTATATATAATAGGAGAGTTACTCTCTCCTCCTAGGCTATCCACATCAGCAAAAAAATCATTAATTGTATTTAAGATATTTAATATATGTGTATTAATATTTCTGTATATATATTTCCTATTTTACACATAAAAAAACTAAGAAAAATACACAAACAATTTAATTGATTAATATAAAGTATGTGATATCTTGATGTTAAAAGTTAAAAGAAAGTTGTAATATAAAATAGAGATGAAATAAAGAAATATTTAACTTGAAATAGTATATAGTTAGGTTTTAACTCAAAGGATTTATCCTATTTAAAAATATTATAATGTGCTTACAAGTAAAAAAGGTACAATATAAATTATTTAACATAGTAAAAAGCTAATAAAAAATTAGAGTTAGAGTTTGTTTTATTAAAAAATAGAATCGAGTTATTATTTAAATTTCATTGCAACGAAAAGTATGAAAATTTTAAGAATGGTGACATGTTTGTTTCAAAAATACAATTTATATTTACAAAACTAACATAATAGAAAATAATCAATTGTTATATGCTACCACAACAAAGCATATATGTAAGAAGTTATACATGTTTTTGTTTTTCATCATATTTTGAGTGCAATTGCGATTCTACACCATATTTACAAATTTTAACGTTGAGTCAAATGCATATTAAATTTTAGAAATAGAAAACTCGAGATGAAAAGGTGTTAATATTTTAATAAAAAAAATTGATCATAGTGTTAATTGTTGGGTTAACTCAAAATATAACCAAAACATGGAAGTTAACATATAATCTTCATAATTCAAAATTTCAAATCAATGAATATAAATAAAATCAAACAGAAAAATTGTTGCAAATAACCCGCGCTTGCGCGGGCTTTAATCCCTAGTATATATAAAAAGGGGATTGTGTGAGGGAAATATGATATGGTTGTTCTTTTTATTTATCTCCACAAACTTATAGATCGAGTTTAAAGCAGATAAAAGGCCACTTAAAACAGCTGTTACGTAACAAAACAAAAGACCATTTGAATGCAATTAAAGGATTTTGGTTTCTTCTTGCCGCTTGAACTAATTAAAATACCAAAACAGAGCTATACCAAATTCATTTCTCGATATCCCAAAGCAAAAAAAAAATGGCAATCTCTTTGCTCTGTCTTATCCTCATCACCGTCGCTTCGTTAATCTTTGTCGGCAAGAAGATCAAACGCTCCAAATGGAATCTTCCTCCAAGTCCTCCACAGTTTCCGATCATCGGAAACCTACACCAAGTTGGAGAATTGCCTCACAGGTCACTCCAACGTCTAGCCGAAAGAACCGGACATGTTATGCTTGTTCGCTTAGGTTTTGTCCCTGTAACGGTAATCTCGTCCAAAGAAGCAGCTGAAGAAGTGCTTAAAACCCATGACCTAGACTGTTGCACCAGGCCTAAGCTTGTCGGATCGAAGAAAATCTCTCATGATTTTAAAGATATCAGTTTTACGCCATACGGTGAAGAGTGGAAGGAACGGCGTAAGTTCTTGGGACGTGAGCTTTTCTGTTCAAAAAAGGTTCAATCTTTTGGATATATCAGAGAGGAAGAATGTAACTTTCTTGTCAAGAAACTGTCAGAATCCGCGGTGGATCAGTCTCCAGTCGATTTGAGCAAAACCTTTTTCTGGCTAAACGCAAGTATTGTGTTTAGAGTTGGTTTTGGACAGAGTTTCCAAGAAAGCGAGCTCATCGATAAAGACAAGGTCGATGAGCTTGTCTTTGAAGGCGAGAACGCTGAGGCTGGTTTCATATTCTCTGATTTATTTCCCGTTGCCGGACTTGGACGGCTCATTGACTGGCTTTCGGGTCAACACAAGAGGCTCAACGACGCTTACTTGAAGCTTGATGCTCTGTTTCAAGGTGTCATCGATGATCATTTGAATCCCCAAAGATCAAAAGATCATGAAGACATCATCGATACAATGTTGAATGTCATGCATCAACAAGGCAAAGATGATTCCTTGATGCCACGATAGATCATATCAAGGGACTTCTCACGGTAAAGAAAGCAAACATATCTTTGAAGTTTGAACACATTCACATTGAAAAAAATCAAATCTTGATATTAAACTTAGTTTCCGTGTGTGTTTTGCTAGGATATCTTTCTCGCAGGGATAGACACAGGAGCTCTTACCATGATATGGGCAATGACTGAGCTCGCAAGAAACCCTAAACTGATGAAAAAAGTTCAAGATGAGATCAGAGAACGTCTTGGCAACAACAAGGAGAGAATCACCGAAGAAGATATCGGAAAAGTTCCATACTTGGACCTTGTGATCAAGGAAACATTCAGATTACACCCTCCGGTTCCTCTTCTGCTCCCAAGAGAGACAATGGCTCACATCAAGGTTCAAGGCTATGATATTCCTCCAAAGAGACGGATCTTGGTCAACGCTTGGGCGATAGGAAGAGATCCTAAACTCTGGACAAACCCGGAAGACTTTAACCCCGAGAGGTTTATCGATAGCCCTGTTGATTATAAAGGACAACATTTCGAGCTCTTACCGTTTGGCTCTGGTCGAAGGATATGTCCCGGGATGGCGATCGGGTTGGTTACTTTTGAACTGGGACTCTTGAACTTGCTTTACTTCTTCGACTGGAAATTGCCTGATGGGATGACACATAGAGACATCGATGTAGAAGAAGCTGGCACTCTTACAATCGTCAAGAAAGTACCTCTGAAGTTGGTCCCAGTTCGAGTGTACTGATTAGACCGAACTCCAACCTTTGAAGATGTTTTGAAATTCTTCAAGCTTCTCTGTTAAGGACATAAAAAAAAATCTATTGAAATTCTGCAAGCTTGTCTTGTAAGGACATAAATATATCTATGAATGAAGAATAATTTTCCGTTAAAGACTGTTAGGTTTGCGTATGTGCATGATTTATATGTACATGAACTCGTCTGAATCTGATGTTTTGTCTAATAAAAGTACTTGGCGGAATTTCGTGTTCATTGGTCTTTTTGGATCAATGGAACATATTCAAGAGACGTGTATTAACACATTATTCTGACGAATAGTTTGTCTGACCCGCAAAAAGAATGATTATCAGTCTCAGGATAGGTTAGCTCTAAATTATTCTTAAGACGCTGCTTAGCCTTTTATGTAATTAAATAAAATGAAAAATGCGTTTTAAATCAAGCTTCAACGCTAAAAAAAAAGAGAAAAAATGATGTACAAACCCTTACGTATCATTTTTGTATTATTTTTGAGAAAAAATAACTTATTGGAATTTTTGGAAAAAATAAAATTAATGATGATATTTTTGAAACATATATTTATTTACTAAGATATTCCTTTTTCCCCTCTTTTTGGATCAGAATTTGTAAGGTCGTCAAACAAATATTTATATAGGGGAAAATTTGGTCATCAATCCGAATTTTTTAACATTTTGTTTTATTGATCTTCGTTTAGAATATGAGAGTTTGCTCTTCTAAGCCAAACAAAAAAAATTGCACTAAACCCATTTAGATAGTGGAATCCCCTTATCCTAGTGGTTAAAGGGATTTAATATTTCTACACCAGGAGGTCTGGGTTTCGAACCCCAGTAAATGTGATTTGCTAATAATTTATGCAAATTATTGGAGACAAGCTTACAGGAGGTCTACAGAATGGTGCACGTGGAGCCGTCGGCCGGGGAGCCTTTAAAGACGATAGAATCATCCGTTATAGAATTGTCTTGTAATATTTCTCATATTTGTGTATTAGATTAGTCAATTCAGTGTTAAAAAAAAAACCCCATTTAGATATTCATTTAATAATTCACTAAGTGATTCTCCTGCCCCCTTGCGCAGAGTAACTTTTTTTTTTAAATACATTCTATTTAGATTTGAATAATTTTACTCACAATTTTGCTTTTTATTACTATATAGTATATACTAGTAGAGTACCCGCACGTTTGTGCGGTGTGACGTTGTTGTTTTGTGTAGAAAATTTAAACCCTAAATCCGAACCCGACAAAAAACCCTAATCAAAAAATTTAAAAACCCAAACTTTTTTAATAGGTCTAAACATGAAAATCCGAAATCAAAAAAATCCCGAAAACCCTGACTGAACAAAAAAAATCTGGAAACTTTTTCACCCGGAACCCGACCCCAATACCTAATCAAAATTTTAAAATACTCAATTTTTTTAATATATCTAAACCCGAAAACCAGAAATCAAAAAATCCGGAAAACCCTAAACTGAAAAAAAAAATTGAACCTAACCCGAACAGAAATTTTCAAAGAAACCCGAACAATTTCTATATCTCTATATCTCTATAAAATTATGTCTCAGATTTTCACCCAAACCCGAACTTGTCTATAAAAACCCGAAAATCCAAAAAGCATATTCTATTGATTTGGAATTATCGTTAGATTATGTTAAGTTTTTTTTTTGCAGATTTTTAAGAGATGGAAAACGGAAGTTTTCTAAACCATCGGTTTATTTTAAGTTATTATTCTTGTATCCAAACAATTTTTTCCATTTATTCTTCTATCCAAATAGATTTTTCTCTTATTTTGTATCCAAACATTACAATGTACTTTGCC